CTAAGTGAAATATAACAGTCACAAAAGGACAAATATTGAATGTGTCCGCTTAGATATCTGGAATAGTCAAATTCATAAGGTCAGAAAGTAGGCTGGTGGGTGCCAGGGCCGGGAGGTGGGAAAGAAAGAGAGTATTTAATGGGGCCAGAATTTTGGGGGTGATGAAAAGCTCTGGGAGTAACAGTGATGATTGGATGACGGTATGAAATGTGTTTAAAGCCACTGAATGGCATACCTAACGGTAAATACTGTTTTGTATATTTTACTACATTAAAAAAATACATAGAACAAAAGAGCAATTTGGACCCCCTCCCCTCGACAGTTTTGGGTCCAGTTGGATTAGTCGTTTTGCACAAGCCTGCTGCCCACTTTCTGCTGACTGGCCCTAAATTAGTCTGAGCTTCCCGGAGCCTGAGGTAAGCTGAATTCACAGGAACTCCCTCTTTCCCTTGAGGGAGGAAGTTTAAATTATCAGGTCAATTAGGAAAGATACAACCGAAAAATCCAAGTTTCATTCACACTTCAAGGAGGCATTTCCTGGCTGGGTGCCATTTTTATTATTTTTGGCCCAGGCGACTGAAAGCCCCACAAACCCAGGCAAGGTACAATGTGATCTTTGATTCTCGTCTCAAGGATCAAAGCGAGTGAGTTTGGGTGTGAATGCAGATAACATTTCACAGATCTTTCAGGAAAGGAGTCACCAGACCAGGGCAGCAAGGGAGTTGCTGTGTTCCGTGCGTGTTCGCCTTCAGAAGCGTCACTTTCCAGCAGATCCAGCTGCCCGTGACCCAGGGACTCCTGGGCTGCACCCAAGTCCTTGGCCCATCCATTGACATGAGGTCCTGGCAGCCTTTTCCACCTCCTCCAGGCTGCATGAGGCTGCGGGCAGGTAGAGTGGCTGCCAAATGTGCATGTAAGGAGCACGCCACCTCGTCCTCTCCTAGCGTTTCCAAAGTGGCTGGGTGCAGCCTGGCTCACCAGCGTTGGGTGGCACACCTGGTACGGGCAAAGCTCCGTGGGGAGGCCCTGACAGCCTGCCCTCATTGTCCTTTCTGGGTCCACCCACGACAGAAATCCCACAGGCCCTGCGTGGAGAATCCTTGCCAGCCTACCCTGGCTCTCCCGTCTGGGCTGACGGTAGGCACCCCAGTCCTTACCAGGTTTCCAGCATGGGCACTGGGTGACGGAATGTATTCAGAGGGCCTGCCCTGCCCGCGGAGCTCTCACGATGCCCATGAGCCCAGCAGCCCCTCTGTGCCCAAACCGTTCCAACGCCCTCGGCCCCGCAGGCTTATCCTAGGCCCCAGCCGCCCAGGAGCTCCCAGGGTTCCGCTGACTCGAAGGAGCTACCGCGGGATAAGATAGCACCGCACAAGCCCTTGGTCTCCACTGCTGCAGGGTACAGCGGTGCAAGGTAGAGGAAGCGGCGGGACACCGGAACTAGCAACACTAGGAGTCGCAGAGCTCCCGCCCCCCCGCGCCCCGGCCCAGCCGAGGGGCGCCTGCGCA